GTACAATAGATTTTAACATGGGGAGCGACTGGTGCGTGCGTCTATCTGAGGGACTGAGTCGATTTTCTGGAAATGGAGAGCAGGAATGGGGCGTGTGCCAGACTCTCACGGGGTGAGCTTACAGAGAAGAACGAAGCCTGACTAAAGGTATTGAATAATTGCTGTGCGTATATAAGACGTCACCCATCCGTCACAAATACATGACTTTAGATTCAAAAATGTGATAAAATTTACAAACTGCGTGATTAGAAAATATATTCTCGGCGTTTTTCGGTCGTATCAGCTGATTTCTTACAGTTTCCAGGTCGGGATGAGGACAGCTTCACAAAATCTCAATTGAAGAAAGTGGAATTAAAGAATTGATCACTGATGCTCCACAAAACCGAAAACACATAAAACGTAATGACGCCACGCTTTTTTTTACACGCGCACTTTCCTTCAGGGATGCATGGACTTGATGGATTGCGTCTCACCTTGCAGCCATAAAAAAGCTGTCATATAAACAAAGCCTGACGTCATTATGTCACAGGTGTATTTTCACCAGTTCCTTTCCAGAAATGGTCGAAGAAACAATAGTTTTCGTGGTAATAGGCTACAGGTAGCCCTTTTAACTTTCTCCTAATTGCAGGTTTACTGGGAATCGGTTGGTTCCTGCCACATTACCAGTGCCAAAGCTGTACAGGGAACCAGGTAAGTGAACGACAACATGAAGCAGGGTTTTTTTTCATTCAGTTATGTTTGTGACATGATACAGAGAAAGGTATTTCAATTTGGAATTGTCGGATTTATAAGGGTAATACTAAAATAGCATTAATCATTGTAACCAGAAATAAGTCATTTTGATTAATAAACGTTAGTCCAGCTCTATGCCTAAAATGACCAATTTCAGTTTTCAGAAAGGCCAATCACTAATTTAAATTAGTCAGCCAGGCCAATGACTAACATTTATTGGTCAAAGATAAGGCAGACATTGGTGAATTTGACCAAAGTCAGGCACTGCTGACTAAACAGTAGTCCTGTCTTGATTTAATAAGTAATCGAGACCCGACTTACCAGTATACATGTAGTTATCATTTGGAGCACAAAATGCTTAACTTTCTACACAGTGTTTTGATCTTTGATCCGCCTTATGGACGCAACAAAGTTTAGGAAATCATAAGATGGAACTACTACGGGAAAGCAGTGACCCTTAAACATTTAATTACCTCCACTGTAGTGGATTACAGTTTCGGAGTTTGTCAAATATATATATTTTTTAACTCTAATTCAAAATTGGTTTCATTGCAGAACTGACAATTGCCTCACTGACAATCCAGAAACCAACAATATTACCGCTGACGGCGAGTTCGTGTCAAGTGTCTAGCCTGACAGGCGGGAAGGGATCCCAACTGGCCAAGCTTGTGGCCCTGCGGAGACAGCAACCTGTCGAGGTAAGGGAATAAGGAACAGCCAGAGCTTGAATGCTACAGTGGTTCAAATACTTTTAATGTCAATTCGTAAAGTTATATTTAAATACCTTTTTCTCCCTCAGATACGGTTACATTTGGGGCATTTATGATAAAATGCTGTGGAGAATTTTTTTTTATTTTTTTTTCAAAACATAAACGTAAATGGAGACATTGTTGCACTATAACTTTTCATCACAGAAAGGGGATATCAAGTGACGCTTTTATTTATCCACCCGTGTGAACCTGTGTGTTATGTCGGCAGTAGGCCTATACTACTGCTGGATTCAGTAACTCAATTTGAATACTGCCCTACATGCGCTGATCTTTCGCAGTATAAAGTTCCGTCCGGGTTCTGTATTACAACAGCTGCCTTTCGGATGCATCTACAAGTAAGAGACAGTTCAAAGAATTTCACATGGTTGGTAGGAATATCTTAAGTGGCAAAAACTGAACAGATATGAAATCTTTATAGTGTTCACGTGTCAACATGCATCAACCTGTCCACCGCTTATTCGTTTGTATTGCCTGGTAGACTTTATTCACGAGTCGGCCACATTGAATTGAAAGCAAGGTTAACTTTTCATTTCGGTAACCCAATAAGAAAACTGAAAGTATGACATGAAAGTACACCACGAATTAATGCAACTAGCGTTGCATTTTAATTTAATTTTCGGAAGAATAACGACGACATGCAGAGAGCCGTGACGGAACTGAAAGAAGTGTCATGTACCATACGAGAGGGCGACCTCATGGCAACATGCGAAGGTAAACGGAGGGTTTGCATTCCTGCCATATTGCAGGCCAGTGCCTTTGTTCCACGGTGAATGCACAAAGGAGATTTCCCTGTGGAACAAAAGTAATGCCTAGCAAGATGTTGGCACTATATGAGCTCCGTACAGGCAGCCCAGAATTGTAGCACGCTGTTGGTAATCACTAATTCATCAGCTTATATCAGGGTTGCCCACATCGTTTTGTAACATGAAGCACAAGGAACCTTATCTTTCAGATATCTCGCGCGGCGCCTCATGTCGTCTTTAACAAGGGCTTAGAAAATTTCTCCACAAATCAAATGTTTTTGTGAACACCAGTGAGGAGGTAACGTCCGAGACAACTGCAAAAGAATGGGCCATGGCTTGTAAAGTCCCCGGATGGAACTGCTGTGAGGGCGCTCAGCTAAACTTGTAAAGGCAGAGGAACGTGGAATTCTCTGTGTTTAGAGTCTATTTCAAGAATCATAATAACTACAAGGCGTAAAAAATTACTGGTTACATCATATTGCATCGTCCCCCCAAAATGGACAATGTTACCAAAGCCCTGTATCATTAAAGGTGCATACCGCCCTCTGTTGTTGAAAATAAAGGTGACCTGAAAAGGATCACGGTCTTTGCACTTGGAAACTATTGTTTCGTGTCTTGTCCAGCTTATTTCAAAGTCTGTTTTATAGCTGCTCGTCAGTTGATAACATTAAAACCTATTGTTTCGCAAAATGACTCCATGCATGCAGCTCAAATTTCAAATCGAAACTAACTGGTTTTAAAAATTTTACTTTGCCTTTTCCGTGTCTTGAAGGACCACTGCTCTGATTGCTAAAACGGACATCTCAGATCGTCTGAAGGCTGAAATTGATAAAATGGTCGCTGAGATATTTAACGATGCGGAGGGCTCGAAGATGTACGCCGTGCGCTCTTCAGCTGTCTGTAAGAATTCAAGCAGATTGTCACTGCAGTTGTCATTTTGCAGACAAACGACACCATTTGCTTTCCAAAGTTAATAACCTTAACCTTAATTCTTTTAATTAAAAATCAGGAAAGTATGTCTCTTATTTAAAACAGTGCCAACATGTGAAATATGGCTTGTATAGGTTTTAATTGGCCGGGGAGCGAGGGAAATTCACGGCATTTTTTTTTTTTTTGCGTCCGTAAAGGAATCCTCGACCACTGCCATAGGTGGTGATACCTTTTCTGAAGTGCTAGAATTTTCAATTCCTAAAACAAAGCGGGAGAGAAAAAGGCAAGAGAGAAATTGAATACTCTCTCCAGGGGGGAAACTTGCCCAATGACCCATCCCCTCCGGATACACACTTCCGTCACTCATTAAACTAGTGCATGCATGCTTATTGTGCATCCATTTGCCCGAAAATATGTGCCATTCCAGAGATATATAAATTTCACTTTACATTATAAACATCACGAGAATGTGAGCACAATGGGTTGCCTTATTCATTTATTCCTCGACCCCATCGTCTCTTTGCTTGTTAGGTGAGGATACCTCACTCACCTCAGCTGCCGGCCAGATGGACACATTCCCTGGAATTAACGGCATGGAAAAGGTATGTTTTTAATTAAAAAGGATAAGGCTCTGACCTAAAATATTGCTTTTCTTGGTAAATGCAGCATTAATTTCACAACGATCTCGACCAGAGGCGCACTGGGGATTTGTCGTGGGGGGGTTCGGACTGTAATTTTCCCCAAAGTAGCTCCTGCTACTCAAGCCCCCCCCTCCCCGAGTTGCGCCAAAAGGGACTGGAATGTACGGCTATATCAGAGTTAGTAATTTAGAAACGTATACGCATAGGTGTCTACACAGTATCTTCCTATTCAGAAAGTACAAAAGTGAAAACCCTTGGGTACTCCACTGATTGTAAGCAACGATAAACAGCATCAATTTCAGATACTGCGTAATATGAATGTCTGCAGATAGTGTTGCGTGTTATGATGGTGGTTTCTAACATAGTTAGCGCTAAAAATCTGCCAATGCACTCCATATCAAGAACAAAAGTGATTACATCAGAGCAATGACATTAGACGCAGGCTGTGCAGATGATTATGATATATCCCAAAATACTCATCTGACAGACTCACGTATCATCTCTCAATTTGACTGCCAAGATCGCAGAACAGGTAGACACTAGCGTCAAATCTACACCAAAGAAATGAAGACTAGCAGTAAATAAGTAGCATAAAACACCCTTTTGTTTTACATTTCTTTGCGGACTTTGATAGGTATTTGAAGCGATCCCGGAATGTTGGGCGTCAAACTTCTTATTCCAAGCCGTTCAGTATCGAAGGTAATATATTTTATACCAAAATGTAGTCAATGTGTATAAAGGCTAAAGCAAAATACCCCACGTAAAACTTGTGGAATACACAACGGAATAAATAACATTGACCGCCAGGCTTGCTTACCTCATCGGCTTTATAAATTGAAGTCCAATCGTCCTTCATTATGCTGCTATTTAAGTTTTTCGTAGGCAGTACGGCCAAGCAGTGAACGCAGCAATGGCGGTAGTTGTCCGAGAAATCGTAGCCGCAGAAAGTGCGGGTGAGTTTCGCCAGTCATGGTGAATTATACTGCATTATGGCCATTTCTAACACCGGTTAAGCCAGTCGGGGAGTTTCATTCTCGTAGGAATAGCAGCGTGCCTTAACTCAGTACAAACAACGAGGATGCATATTGCAATAGACGATTGACAGAGCTATGACAGCTTCGAGGAAGGGGTTGTATAGATCAGCGGGGAGAGAGTTAGGTTGAGATGCAGAAAAAAAGTTCACTCGGTTAAAGGAAGGCCTCCCTCAGATTTATTTTGAGCGAAACAGAAAAAGACATTGAATAGGCATTGTTTAACTACAATTAAATCTGAGACAATTTGGTCACAACGTGCCCAATTTCAATCAAAACTGACGTAGGTGGCTCGTCGAAGGATACTGTAATGTCTTCTTGCTCAGGTGTTGCTTTCAGCCGTGATCCTATGACCGGAAACCCAACAAAAATCGTCAACAATTCCAACTACGGATTAGGAGAGGTAATAATGGGCCATGTTTTGTGGCACTCGCGCACTTATAATTAACTTTTATGTAACCGTGAGTAATCCGTCAAAATGTCGACAATGGAAAGCTAGAAAAAACTCATTACGCTTGTTGTATCAGGGTTAAGGTATTTGCTTTTACACGTGCGTTTTGGAAAATGTTAGAGTATCTGGGCATTTTCGTAGTGCAATACGAGGGTATGTCAAAACCGCCATTTGCACTGCACATGCAGTTGAACACGCCCAATTTTCCTTGATCTCCGAACCCAGTATTCCTGTCTGAAATGGTCTTTCAGTGAAGATCCACAAACAAACAGCCCATGTTCACTGTCAAAAAAAAGTTGTGAAATAAAGTGTTTTCGAAACCTTTGAGCCGCGTTTTGTGAATAGCTGTAAAATCGGCACACCTGTGACTGAATTTTGTGGTGCAATTTTAGGTCCGTATTTAGTTGTCTGACTACAGAATTTGACATGTTGAAGTATATTTGAGGAGGGGCTGCAGTGGGTGTATCTTGGCCATCGCTGGTGTGTCTTTAGGAGTTACAGGTGGCATCCGCAGAGGAACAAAGCATTGGCAATTAAGGGATTGAAAATCA